TGACTCCCTCTTCTTTGGGGTAGCCCCTGAGATATTGGAACACAGCTATCATGTCTCCCCTAGTCCTTCTTTTCATAAGACTAGACATACTCAATTCCTGCAACCGTTCTTCATATGTTTTAGCCTCCAGTCCCCAAATCATCTTTGTTGCTCTTCTCTGCACTCTTTTTCTTTGACGATGTTTCGCTTCTCATCCAAGAAGCTTCTTCAGCTCTGACAGGATAGTGACGGATGGAAGGATTTATATTCCTTGCAGAGAGCTGGACATTTGCATCCTTTTAGAGAGTCATTGAGGCCACTTGGAGGTATGTCTGTGTCCTTAGAGTCACCTGAGTGGTTCTAATGGTTCCTGTAGTCCGCAATTTTTCCTCTGGAAATCCTGATACAGATAAACCTCCAAGTGCTTCGATGACCCTCTAAAAGGATGCAAATGTCCAGCTCTCTGCAAGGAATATAAATCTTTCCATTCCCCATTATAGAAGCTTCTTGGATGAGAAGCGAAACATCTTCAAAGAAAAAACCAGAAAGTTTTGAAAAAGCACTTTTGGGACAACCATGACCTGGATGACTGAGAATCTCTTCAGGCTCTTGAGAATTCTTGATCAGAAACCTCGACAGGCAAGAATGGAATAATGAAGATATATTATGTGTATTATGATTCTCTTCTTTTATTCCCTGCTCCAGAAACGGCCCTAAATCAATTATCCAGGTCTTGGCATTTCTGGAATCCCTTTTTCTGTTCCACACACCTCTCCACTCCATTGCAAATTATACAAAGGAGGATCCAGAAAATGACTATATAATTTTATTTTGCGCCTGAGTGAATGTCTTTTGTTCTCCCGCTGCTTTAAATTGCCGTGTTTACACAATGCTTCTTGCTTTGATTAATTTAGATCAAGTTGTAGCCATGTGTGCACTTGTGTCTATGTCTATCTGTGCATCAGGGGTGGATTGCTGCTGGTTTTACTCCCGGTTCACAACCCGTGCACAACTCTTGTTTGTTTGTTTGTTTATAGGATTTATATTTATACGCTGCGCATGTGCGTGCTGTTCAATGTAGATTGCTCTTTGTGCATGCACAGGACAATTTACAGGGAACTGCGCACGTGCAGTCGCTAAAAACCAAAATGGCGGTGGTCCAGCGGCAGCAAGGGAACTGGTTTGGGGGCGTGGCAGGCCTGGGTCGCTGCTGGTTCTGCGACCCAGGCCTGAATTCCACTACCGGTTCAGCCGAAATGGCCCAAACCAGGAGCAACCCACCTCTGCTGTGTGTGTATTAACCGAAAGGTACGATAGAAACGTATTTCTTTTTTCATTTCTAAATGCAAAAGGGGATGTAGATAGTGGCAACGAAAGAAGAATGAAGAACCTCTAAGAAAATACAACCTCACCATTTCTAATTCAATGTCCAAACGTTTAGAAGCAGCAACAAGCGGGCTCTTACCTGCGATTTAAACAGAATTCATAAATGTGGGGGTGTTTTTTTCATTAAAGCAAGAACAATTACTGTATTTTTCAGCGTATAAGACGCTCTGAAGTATAAGACGCACCTAGCTTTGGGGAAGAAAAACAAGCGGGAAATATCTACCTCTGCCTCCCAGCAATTTGCCTCCTTGCAAGAAACANTGTGTGTGTGTGTGTGTCAGTGGTGGGTTTCAAAACATTTTGGAACCTCTTCTGTAGGTGTGGCCTGCTTTCCGGGTCCACTGGTGGAACCTCTTGTAACCGGTTCGGTAGATTTGACGAACCAGTTCTATCGAATAGGTGCGAACTGGTAGGAACCCACCTCTGATTCCAATTATTATTTAGCCACGACTACCACACGCACAATGAGAGACATGGTGGCTCAGTGGCTAAGATGCTGAGCTTGTCAATCAGAAAGGTTGGCAGTTCATGCGTTTGAATTCCTGCCAACCTAGCAGTTTGAAAGCATGTAAAAAATGCAAGTCGAAAAATAGGAAGTTGGTGGGAAGGTAACAGCTCCGTGCACCTTTGGCGTTTAGTCATGCTGGCTACGACCACAGAGACATCTTTGGATAGCGTTGGCTCTTTGGCTTTGAAACGGAGATGAGCACCCCCCCCCCCCTAGAGTCGGGAACGACTAGCACATATATGTGAGGGGAACCTTTCCCTTTACCACACCTCAACAAAGTTATGGAAATTAGTATCTGTTTGGTGGGTTTTTAAAGGTTCTTTTTCACAAGCATGTTCCCTTAAAATCAACGGCAGGGTTGATGAGTGTCTCGCCTGATTGTTAAGACTTAGCAGCGTTGCAATTTCCCAAGGCAAAGTGCCTGAATTGGATCCCTAGGACCCATCGGGATCAAGAGACACAAAGGGAAAACAAAGAGAGATGAACTCAAAGTAAAAAGTAATTTGTTTGCTTACCTCGTCTTGTGTGGAAAAGATTCCATAGGGCAGGTTTTGAATGGGGAAATGGGAATTCTCGCCCACTTTAATAAAAGACATGCTGCTTTGATCTTTCAGGCACCACGGAGGGAAAGAGAGAGTTTTGCAGATGTTGCTTGTATTGCTAAATCCCTGGTGGGCCCCTCCTATTCTTCAATACGAAACAGCCAATCAGCCTCGTTTCTCCTATCCCACCCTCACTGAATTTGCAGTCTACAAAACCAGGAAGTTAAACAGTGCCAGATCTGCACAAGACGTAACAGCAGCTCCAGCTGTAGCCTCCCTCCCTCCCTCTTTCACTCAAATTCTTCCTAAATCCTTCCCCAGCAGATTCATCCTAGAGAAATCAAAAAATGAGGATTTGTAACGGCTGAGAGATACGTCCTACCTGTCAATGTTTAGAGGTTTTATTCAACTTGTATGCCGCCCTATTCCCGAGGGACTCAGGGCGGCTAACAAAACCGAAGGGAAGGCGGGGGGGGACAATACAAAAGGGAAGGCAACAAAACCAAACAATACAAAACCAATTTAAAAGGTCTCAACAAGCACACCAGTTCGAGTGGGGATGGAACTCAGCAGCCCCAGGCNTCTTCCTTGGAGTCAAACATGGACCTGGTGACCAGCTATTTCACTGACCTAACTCATAAGTACTGTGTTTTTTACAGGGTGTCACCTACGATTGCTAAATCGAGAATCCAAATATATAGAAGTACACCACTGCCTACTAAGGTTCTACTTAACTCTCTCCAATGCAATCATCCTTCAGATTATGAACATTATCTTCTAGATTCCTGGACAACACCTTGACCTGAAGGCCTAGCATAAATGTTGAACTTACTCACGGAATCAAAGGGTTATAGAATTAAAAGGAATGGCAAGCATCTTGTCTGACCTTCTGCAATACGAAGGAAGACCCATCAATCCATCCTTAAGAGTTCCCCGGCCTCTTTGTTAAAACCTCTAGAAGGTGACCAGCCCACAACCTTTGCAGGTGGACTCTTCTATTGATCTTCAAAATTAACCCTGGTACCAAAATTTAACTTGTTTAATAGCTAACCCCTGTGTTTCGACTACTATGGTTTTCAGAAGAAGCAATATGCCAGCGAGCCCGTAAAAATCTAAGAAACCCACCATTAGTTTAAATTCAACTGAAGATGACCTTCTGTAAGACAGTTCTCCTTAAAAAAAACCAAAAAAAAACCCTCAATACCTGCTCAAAGACATGGTGTTGCTTGGAAAGGACAGGTCCATCAAACAGATGTTTAACAGAACTGAGGTCCAGCACCTGATCACCAATGGCTACTCCAATCCTGTGTCTGGGCTACAAGAGAAAGAGAAATACACACGAGAAGCAGAAGTTTCTCAGCTGCTATTCCGGCCTACCAAAGTAATCTTGATTATATTATAGCTCGTTATCACATCCTCAAACCCTCACAGCTTCCACCTTAAACGGTCTACCGTGGACCTCCCCCCATTCCTAAGAGGTCCGTAAAGAGGGTGGGAATAAGCGCACCAGTGTGCCTACCAGGGGTGGGTTCCAGCTGCTGCTACTGCCAGTTCGCTCAGAGATGTGCCCCCCCCCAGTACTAAAAATGCTTCTGCATATGCGCAGAAGCGAAAAACAAGATAGCAGCACCCATGGCACCACCAAGAGAATTGGTTTGGGGGTGTGGCAGGCCTGGGTCGCTGCTGGTTCCAGCGACCCAGGCCGCCAAGTTATTACCTATTCATCTGAACCGGTCTGAATTGGTAGAACCCACCTCTGGTGCTTAATGTCCCTATCCTACTGTCCCCAAGTATTTGTATTCATTTCCTTTGTCCATGTCCATGTTTATACTTATATCTACTATTATGTACATATTTGACAACTAATAAGAAAGTAAGTAAGTAAGTAAATAAAAAAAGAGGTGTATTGGAAGAGGTATATTGGGTTTCTATTTTTGGGGGTATTGCTGACAAGAGGAATGGCTGTGTTTATTGTTTAATGTTATATGGCCCCCGTTATGCACAGTATATATGTGACTGTATGAAAATGAAAAAGAAAAAACACATTTTCAGTAAGTAAGTAAGTAAGTAAGTAAGTAAGTAAGTAAGTAAGTAAGTAAGTAAGTAAGTAAGTAAGAAAAAGTAAATTGGGGGAGAAGGAGAAGGGGGCATTGAAAATCAATATTATAAAGTATGGGACTTGTTTTACCAATGGCTAGATAAAAAGAAACCTAGGAATGAAATTGTTTACTTATGTTGTAATAATTTTTTTTGTTTTTTCTTTTCTTGCTATGATATAGAGTACTATTCACATGATATTGATTTTCAATGCCCCCTTCTCCTTCTCCCCCAATTTACTTTTTTTTACTTACTTACTTACTTACTTACTTACTTACTTACTTACTTACTTACTTAC